AGAATTCAACGATATCATCCCGATTGCACTGCCATGCTTACTGTCCGCCAGAAGTTCGCGACCCCCAACCTCCCGAACTTTTTCAGCATTGTCTTCTGCTATAGTATGTATGGGGCCAGTAGGTGCCATTCCATGCAATGCTTTCGTTAGATCCTCCTCTTTCTTGTCCTTTTCCAGTTCTGGTGTACCATAGACTTGGGATTTATTTTCGGTGGAAATTATTTCTTCATCATCAGCAACTGACCTCAGCTCACTGTGCTTAGTGATTTCATTGACTGGAACTAATTTTGCTAGTTCTTCAGTATGTTCCTTATTCCAAAAAACTTCTTCAGTTACTGGAGCATATGTTATTTGCTTCTCTTCCAATCGCTCAGACATGGATTCCTCTTTTGGTAACCGATCGCTGTCGTACAGCTTGTTTATCGATTCTACTTCCGCTATTTTAAGAGCTTCCGAAATGACACTGGCATCTGTACTTTCGCTTCCTAATGGTTCATGATGTTCTCCAATACTTTCATCTCCTCCACCTTGTGTAACTTTTCCGATCTCACCATCATCGTCTTCGCCGATCCGCTTCCGGTGACTTATCAAAATCTTATCAGTATCACTTTTTTCCAAGGCTATTTTTTCTGAGCTTTCTTTTTCGGGCAATCCTTCCTCTTTTTCCTCTATTCCAAACAGCGGCATTCCATCGACACTGTGTTCCTTCTCCACCAAGTCTTCAAATGACTCCCATATTCCCTTTTCCCTCCGAATATGCTGAGCTTTACACTCACTTAGCTCGGTTACATGTGCTGACGTGACAAGTTCTGGAATATGGGCAGCAGTATTTGCTTCATCTTCTCCGTATCTTTTTTGTTCTGTTGCTCGCTGCAGCACTGATTGAGTAAGTTCGATAGGTGTTTCTTGCAACTCATTAGCTGGTATGAGTAGCGACATAGTTTCTAGTTCCTCATGTTCATCACCATAATCAGTCTGCTTTTTGTGCGTGAACTCCCCAATTGCATCTTGCGGCTGAAACAGATTTTTGCTGAAGGATATATCAACCAAGTCTTCCCCAGCGTCCTGTTTTTCTGGCAGCAGGTACTCTTTCATCTCATATTTTTCGACAAATGCGTCGACTGACTTTGCTTCTTGATTCGAGACTGGCATCACAGATTCTGGAAGCTCCTTGACACGTGCCAATGTTTCCAGGTCATATTCCACGTGACCATGCTCTATATTGCTTAATTCAGTTGCTGCGTTTGCTTTTGAAAAAGCTTCTATGAAGTTTGCCGCTTCTAATTGACCAGAGTCTGCTTGCTGAATAATGTTTTCTTGTTCCTTCAATCCCCACTGCTCCGCTTTCTCCTCTTGCTCTGACAGATCAATGCCTTCACGAAGAAACGATCTTTTCTCAATTTCAGGCACTATATCGAGTGTAAAAGGTAACTCCGGTTTCTGCGCTTTGCTACTTTTGCAAATAGCGATTTTCTGGTCCTTCTCACACGGCGCACTAAACACCTGATCGCACGTGATTATTTGTTCCTTTTCTGGAGTGCGAATAAATCTGGCTCCATTCTCTTGTTCACTTCTCTCTGTTTCGGGAGCGTACTGCCTCATATCTCGCCTCAAATACACCTCATCTATACTCTTTTCTTGGATGGGGATCTCCTTGGCGCATTCCAGCAAAACCAATTCTGGCTCAGCAATATCAACTTTGGGAGAAGTTCCGTCTTGGCGGTCGTCAAACCTCTTCTGTACGCCAAATGAATCTATTGCTTCAACTTGCGATTTCGAGGTGATGCTTCTGAGATCAGTTTCTGAACCAAACACCTTCGCAACGTCTGTCACTGAAACCGCTTTCTCAGACGGTACTGGTGTAGTGTGATCTTCTCTAAGGGCTTCAATTTGTTGTGCAACATATTCATTAGTAATCATACACACCTCCTCCGCCTCAATGATTTCCCAACCTTCACAAACATGTACCTCATCCTGCATCCTTGGCAGTGATACCTCTTGCTCTTCACTTACCTTATCCATTCCAACCCATTCATGAAATTCAATGTCTGTGTCGACAGCGGCTGGTACTTGCGATTGCCCTCGTAACTCTTCCCTTCGCCGAGCTGTCTCAGCCTCAGCGTCAGCTATTTTCTGTAATCGTTTTTGCATAATCGCTTCTAGTTCCTGGCTTGGACCACCCTGCTCTTCATGTTCCCATCTACTCAATCTTTCCACTTTTATTGGTTGCTCTTCTTTTCTCTTCCAATCCATTTTTTTCTCATCTTCTGCTGCTGACTCACCCGTTTGAGCAACCCGCTCATCAGTCACATGTGCTAAACGTACTGAATCTTGAACCCGTTGCATTGGTTCTCCGTGCATCGAATACCCGTACTGACGTATTTCCTCCTCATCATCACCGTACTCTTTTGGATGCTGTCTAGGTAGCGCAGCTTCCACATGACCCGTTGCGACAGTACTAGAGGAAAGAATTCTGGATGCTTCTTGCACTTGAGGAAATGATGAAAATGACTTGCCAGTTTCATCACCAGTGGAATCTTGTTCGCCTTTATGCCTACGTATAACCGCTTGCGGTTCGTCACTTGCTTCGTGTGAAGGGCCTTCTGGTTCGCGTGCCTGAGTTATCGGTTCCTGCACTCCATCTGCGCCTTCAACTAGACGTACTTCTGCAGGCTGCCTATCTGTTGAGAACGTTTCAAAAATGGCAATCCTTTCTCTAACCGATCCTAGCGTGTCATGCGCACTCGTCGGTTTTCTCTCTGCAATGAAATTTCTATATTTTCGAATGAACATTAAAATGAAAATTTATCAATACCGCAATCAGCTATACTCGGAAAAATTCATGTTTTGTTTGCTGGGCGTAGCATTTATGACGTAAGCAGTTTAGACAAACTGATATTACTGACAAAAAGCGGTAAGGCGGGATCCAGTACAGATACTGAAAAATACATCATTTTATTGAAATTTTGCATTTATTGGAAGAGGACTAGGTGGTCGCCTCCTAGATCTGTCCTGAAAATCCCTGTGTGAAGTTCAGTGGCCTTAGAAACTTTGTATGGAGCTAAGAGGTGAGTTGATGAATCATATCTAAAAGAAAGTGTAAAAAGACCAAATGACTAATCAGTATATCATATTGTACCAGATTTGTTCAGTTATCGAAGCGACTTGAACTGGATCTTCATTAACAACAGAGTCAAAATCTTACAGATAATGGCATACACTAGACTGCCTGTACGGCTATACGTTTACGCTGCTAGGAAATATAGAGGGATGCAGGAATTCACAAATAAGTTGAACTGTATTTCGTCACGACTTTTTATGCGTTTTTGCATATATGTAAATTGCAAAAACGCATATTGGGAAGAGGCTGTGTGTGTGCGTGTGTGTGTGTGTCTGTATGTTCGCACTTTTTGTCACACACTTTCAACTCGAGAACCAGAAAAGC